TACAGCACGGCGTAGTTGTTTAGAGGAGTGAACGAACGACTACTTTCTTGTCTAGCCTGGGCAATCAATAGCTGCATTGTACGTGTCCGCCCTTCATTAGCTGATTCATATCTCAAGTAGGTTCTCTCAGTCCTTGTGGGGCTGCTACGAACAATAATTATGGCTCGTAAATCATTCTAACTACAGGTTGTGATAATGACATTCCAGGGAATTAGCGCAACACAGGGTTCAACATTATTTGCCAGCTCAGAACAATGCTGTGAGTGTATGTATTCCATACTCTCCCCAGATCTCCGGGATCTGTTGAGTACGGAAAGGTGTCATACTCACCAGACACAACGGACAATGGGAAAATTCAAAATAGGTCTCTTTGCTTCACCGGTTCCCTCGCAAACCGACACTTACATTTGAAACAACCATTTGAGGCATTGATATATTTCGAAGACTGTATTACAGGTATCAAGAGTACATAACTCCCCGGGGGGTTATGTACTCTTGATACTAGTATACCACATCATTAGGGAGGTTTCGCTCTACGTAATTACGTATGAAAATCCGTATGTCGTACACGCCGGGGAGCGAGGGCAACTTTCATACGTAAATCTCTCTACGGATTTCCCTTGGAAAGCGGTTTCTTACGTTGGGGTCTCCGTAGGACTTTTTGAAATATTTTTCGGATTTATCCATGGCAAAGTTCAAACCGCTCGAAATACAAGGTTGTTTTTTAACGAATGAAAAACGTAACATGTTTGGCACCTATGAAATCAGGGGATGGCCCACGCCTGGTAAAAAGAACAATGAGTGGCACCCATGAAATCAGGGGATGGCCCACGCCTGGTAAAAAGAACAATGAGAAGCTACAGTGCATGCATGAATAATGTGCAGTACACACAGAGCAGCGTATGGCGTACAGATCATGTACAGACAGACTATGGATTCGAACATAACAGAGTGGAAAACCGGAATCCGAGAAAATAATAACATACCAAATCATGAAAAAAGGGGGAATTCAGGCGCGTGCCCCGTATGGGTTCCTGGGTGCCCGGAACCCCCCCCCCCCCTTTTTTCGCTCAAACTGAAGGATTTTGCTTCATTTTTTGAAACATTTCCCGGCGGAGGTCCCCCGAAAACCCCCCTTGAAGGGCACCGGCGTACGCGCCTGGGGATGAAGCAGAACAGTAGCCAAACACACAACGGATAGTTACCGAAAGCACTCTGCAGCAACAAGGACCACAGAAGCATCAGAAACAAAGACTCTCTGGCGGGCATCTTGAGACCGTGGCCTGCGGTGAGTCGGTGACCATGGAGGCTGGCATGGAGGCACGAACAAGAGAAAAGGAAACTCTTGACCTTATAAAGGCAAGAAGTGGGGAGAAGGGCTCATTTCTCTTATCGGCGAGCATAGAGGCGACACGCTTGAAAAAAGCGGAGGCGGACTTGCGCTAGCCGCCGGAAGCGCGTAACACAATGAGAGATAATGATGCGTATTCAACTTCTTGGACGCGTTCTTCGTATGTCCGCCTTTTCCCGGCCTCATGCTTCCGGCAGGTGGCCGTGATGGACTGCTGGCGGTTGCAGCGGGTGTACGGGATGAACATCCGGATGTCCAGTAGTGCCCGTTCGAAACGTCCACCCCAGACACCCGATGCGGCCACATCCAGGCGGGTACCATCCTGGGAGATGGCGGAGCGGTGACGGAATGTCTCACCTGTTAGCGGCTGGAGATGTGGCTCGACCTGGACATCACAAGGTACCCACACCGTACACCACGGTGCAAAATACGATGGAAACGCGGTTTCGGATCGTGGTGCATCCCGTGGGCGCATGCAGCCAGCGCGGCTCCAAATCAACAAGGCATGTTTAGCAATCGTGGAGAAATCACGTAGAGCGAAACCCTTCAGCGCTGATCTTTACGTATGAAAATTACTTGCAGTTCCTACGTTAGTTTCATACGTAATTCCGTAGAGTGAAACATGGCAACAGTCAAGGTCCAAAATAAAGTGTTCAGTTGACTCTGAAGGATCCAACGGATCGGAGATCTGGATCCCAACCCAGATCCTTACCAATCGAACATGCCGTAGGCAATGACGGCAAACACATAAGTTCCCCGTACTGCAGAACATTTCGGTGCTCGAAAACGACGTATAAAAAATCCGCAGCACCTCTAAGGATTTTGACACGAAAAATCGTACTCCGGAACCTCTGTATGTAGTAGTAGTATTTAGTAGTAGTATTTATTTTATTTACCATCGGATGCCTCAACAGTGATACACACAACTCTTAAGAGGGCCGATAACGGGATAAGTGGAAAGGAAAGAAAAAGAAAAGAAAAAATAGAAAAAAATTGGAATTCAGACATCAAGCAGTACAGTAATCAAACACCAAGTCAACTTAAATCTTAGTACAAGAACTATCAAGATCATCGAGAAACTCAACAGATTCCAAAAAGAAGGTCAAAATACTTCTTAAACGCCACTGGGTCTTTAAAAAGATCCCTGAGTTGGTTTGCAAATGTAGAGGTACGGTGGTGTCTGCGCCACTCGGCAGGTAGTGTATTAAAGAAAATTGCGGCACGATTAGAAAAAGAATTTACTCCATCAGTTGTCCGGTGCTTAGATATGGCAATGGAAGCATTAGAGTGGCTTCTAGTTCTAAGGCCTGTTGTGATCGGTGGAAATAATTCCGTAAGGGTAGGCAGTGAGATGATGACATGATTTCTATGAATAAACTGGGCAAAGTTGAGAATCATATAGTGTTCAAATGGATAAATCGCCAATGTGGTCAATAATGGCGTGATGTCGTCCTGTGACTTAGCACCACAGGCAGCTCGCACAGCACGGCGGAACACAGTAGAGAGCCTTTGGCGGTCCTTAGCGGACAGCTTCGTTACAAAACACGAACAACAGTACAAAAGATCAGGTAGAATGACTGATACAATAAATTGCCTCCTGGCCTTCCTGCTCAATTGCCGAAAGGACCGACGAAGAGCGCCAACCTTAGCACATGTCTTGCGAATTACAAAGTCAATGTGAGGCGATCACGTTAGGCGGTCATCAATGATGACCCCCAGGATTCGGGTGCTGGTAACGCGGGTCAATACCTGATCGTTGAGTATCACAGGAACAGACAGGTGCAGGGGGAGTTTGGAAATGAACATGGCGACAGTTTTGGCAGAGTTGACTGACAACCCTAGGCCCGCAAGATCTAGAGCAAGCACTGAAAGTACCTTGTTGACGGCACCGACAGCTTCATTTGGCGACCTTCTACTGGCATACAGCGTCATGTCATCCGCGAACATCGGCAGCTTGCAGGAAAGAGCATCAGCTGTGAGCGGCAGCTTCCGGACATATAAATTGAAGAGCACAGGGCCCAGAATGGTGCCTTGAGGTACGCCACTAGTAACTGGTACCAGAGGAGACGTTCCGATGTAGGTAACCACGCGCTGCTGCCGTCCACGGAGGTATGACTGCAACCAAGCCAGGGCTATGCCAGAAATACCCACGGCCGCGATTGCGATGAGAAGTTGCTGGTGTTGCACGGTATCAAACGCCTTCTTCAGGTCAACGCAAACAACAGCTGTATGCAGACCCGCTTCGCGGGCTAGCAGCCAATCATTCGTTACCTTCGTGAGGAGTTGCTCGGTCGACCGGTGCTTCCGGAAACCAAATAGATCTTCATGGAACGGGCAACGTTCTTGGAAAAACACCTGGAGACGAGAGAACACGAGCTGCTCAAGGAGTTTGGCGAGAATAGATGTTAGAGACACCAGGCGGTGATTGGAAGGGCAATTACGGGGGCCTTGTTTTGACTTCAATATCGGGATGATGTGGGCAATTTTGAACCGGGATGGAAAGTGTCCAGAAGAGAGGGAAGTGTTGTACAAAATGGTAAGTGAAAGGGCGACTACGTCTTTCGATACCTTTAGCAAAAAAGGCATAATTCCGTCCGGGCCAGGAGCTTTGCGGCTCTGGAGGGCACTGATTAGCCTTTCACTTCTGAGACAGTTACCGCCTCGAACGTCCTGAGGTCCGTAGAGTTAGCCGGACCCATTGGCAGATCATAGGTGGCATGATTATCGGTGACAATAGCGTGGAAGTAATCGTTTAGTCTCTCAGCTGGGATAATAACTGTTTGCCTCTGTGGCGTACGCTTGGTGATCGTGTTCAATATTTTCCAGAACTGTCGAGGTTCCCGTTCATACGTCCTGCACCAATCCGCGAAGTAACGATTCTGAAGATGACGGTACAAGTTGTTGGACTGACTACGTAATCTCTTGAACTGCGCCATTATGACCATGTCACGAAAGTTGGCTGCTTTTAACTTCTTGAAGGCTGATTTGCGTTCCCTGATCAAGTCAAGGAGAGCCTTGGTCATGAAAGGGCAAGTCTTCCGATTCCGCTTCGGTCGCTTCCTGGGCACATAAGGCGCTGCAATATCAAGTGCAGCATTACATTTCTCGGCCCATTCGTCTAACATCAGGTCAGTGTCAGTGGTTGCAAAGTGATGAAGATTGGAAGACAACAACATACCGCAGAAGCGGTCTGCGTCGAAGCCTCGGTAGTCTCTTCGTTGTCTGCTTGGTTGCTGACCATCGGTGTCGGAGTTCCGTGTGCCCGCTGTGGGCAATGGGACAGTACTGAGGACCAGGCGATAGTCTGAGAACTCACAGTCTATAACGGATGCTGACGTGACGAGGTCTATGTTCGTCAGTATGCAGTCAATCGACGTGCGTGTCGAGGCAGTGATTCTGGTTGCGTCCTGGACTTTATTGGCCATCCCGCACGGGAGTAAAAGTGTGTTCTTAAGGTGTTGGAAAACGCTGGATGCCTGATGCAGGAAGTCTACATTGACGTCGCCTAGTAATACAACATTTTCGCTGTCCAGTTGTTCTGTGGCTGTGGCAAGCCGAGTCCAGTACTCCACTGACTCGGATGGGGGCCGATATATGCAACCGAACAAAACACCATCATTGACTGTGCCGGTTCTGAGCCACATCAATT